TGAAGAGCAACCTTACTTATTATTAATTAACCGTTTTAAAATTTAGTACTTCGTGTTTCGAATTTCGTCAGAAAATTAAAGGTTTTTTTGACAATAGAAAAAATCAATTTCTTACCAGACATCAAGAAACTTAAATTCTAGGAAAAATAAAATCATCTCTCTTAACTACACAGAAAAGGCGATAAATCATATATATCCACCTGCCAATTAAATTAAGCATTTATTTGATAACAGATAAAAACCAAACAAGATTCCCAGAAATTTCTACAACAAAAACAACCATGACCGTTTTCTCGTACGAGTATGACACAAATAATCCCCACGTTGTTACATAGACCAACGGCAAATCACTAAAATTTAATTACACCAAAAGGAGACCGCCCTTGTCCATCTTATTTAAGATGAAATAAACACAGCAATACTCGCAGCAATATATATGTCCGGAAAAGAAACATAAAACATAAAAAAAATTTGGCAGCGGCCGAGAATCGTACCCGGGTCGTCCGCGTAGCATCTTACAATGCAATGATTAGACAAACGACGACGGCTAACATCTTAATAGATAAGAATAAGGGGTTCGATAGGTATTCTCGCACAATTAAGGCGCTGTACGGAGGTGCGTCATCCTGTGGGAACCAGCAGTTTCCAACTTTTGTTTTTTGTGCTGTACATCGTTGCATTCGTAATAAAATGCTACCTACTCAATACAGTATGTAGGTACTTTTTTACGGACCATATAAAAAAATTAAGTTGATGATTACTCGGAAACGGACGGTTGTATTGAAAATCTCTGAACGCGGTCTTGTAGAGCTTAAAAAGTGGCAATTGGAAATTGGTTTTTATTTGATTGTATCTGTGCAAATAACAAGAAATAAAAACGATATCGGCAAATTTCAGTTTTTCTAACATATCTTCGGAAGTAATCGGAATATTCCGATTTTCTTTAAGGCATGATAATAACTCTTTAATTGTGCATCTTTTCTGTTTAAGTACAACAATTGTCAGTCCGCTGTTGTATTTGTTTAATACATTATAAATAAATAATAAATTAGTGAAAGAAAACCTAATGACCTAACGATTCTGGTAAACAGTGAGAAGTTTCCCCGAACAAATTAACAATTTTTTAAACAATGAATAAGATGATTTTGTAAAAAACTTATTTACAGTAACACTGTCCAATCGAAAATTGAGCTTCAAGTAACGATTCTATAAAAGCTGATGGGAAATATGAAGCCTGCACGAACAATTCTGATTTTGGAATAACATTAACATCAATAAAATACCAACGACCAGAGACATTATGCGTTCACGTAGTTGGCGCAATTCAATTAAGGATACCTAGTAATTGAGGTGATTTTTCATTCAGATGTAATGAACAATTTAGTTGAGTTGAGGGTCACCTTGGCCCTCGAGCCGGCACTGTCTTTAAATCCTAAAATTGAAATTATAAATTAAGAGTCTCCTCCTGTTTCTCGGTAGATATTAGTACGCTTACAATTTAAACAGTGCGTAATAAATGTAGGCCGTGCTGTTTTTGTTCGAAACGAAGTACCTACTCCATTGTAGTAAAATCTCTATAAGAAAATATTGATTTTGAACGTTAAACATATTCTAAGTAGGCGGCAGAATTTTGCCAACTTTAATCCACTTTGGAATCGTTAATGCGGTACGTGAATTTGTAAAGCAAGGCTAACAAACCATATTTTGTGAAAAGCAATTCGGGGTAATGGAAATATGCTCGTGTTGTGTGCTTTGAGGTATAGCGATTATTTTCCAATTTTGATACTGTACCTACCCGTTTTCTTATAAGGACGGCTGGCATTAATTTCCGCTTTATCAATATTGTTGATTGCGCTACAATTACATTAAGTTCATAGGTATATGTGTCGAGCAGATCAATACATACTTCCATTACATTTCGCGTTTTAATTATAAATTATTGTTACTTTTACTGCTAATAGAATAATGATAATATGACAGATTACAACTATACATGAAGCAAAAGTAACAATGTTTTATTCAAATGGTGTGCATAGGAGAAAAACAAGGCGGAAAGTAGGACGTACAGAAACTTTTATTTAACTGGAAGATAGTCTGTTTATTGCTGTTGTCAATTACGAACGAGCTACAACACACATACAATTTATAACAGGGAAAACTGTGTTCACCTATAACCGCTACTATACGATTGTGCGCTCTACTCTTAACTGAACTACTCTGTAAATCGCTATTTGCCTGCTTTAGAAATCCCCATCCCGTTCCAAAATTACTTTTTGTTGCTATATGATTAGAATGTCACATAAAATCCTTTATATAACTACCCATTTAAAATATAACCTTCCAAAGGATTTTCGTCAAATAATTACCAAATAGTTTGTAATTAAATTACCGATTATATACACACTGCAACCCCCGGCTCTGTTATGAAACTCACAACGGCGATATTAATTAGGGCACAAAATGTTTTTGGGGAAATGTAAAATTCTCAATTATTAACGTTGGCATTTATATGCTTACAACTAACACAAATAGGAAATTAAATCTCCACCGATATTCTCATTTCTTACGGTAGCACAAAACTCTCTTCTCGGAAGTTTCTATTTAGGTATTGATCTACTCTGTATATTTGATATGATTCTAGACTCTAATAACCGTTTTATTTTTAGAAATAGCAATTAACCTGCTTAACAATATTGGTTGGCAGTTTCAAAATTACGGAACTAAATTAATTAGTAACTAATTATTAAATTCAATTTACTATTTCCAATTAACAAGTCGTTCAAAAAGAATAATGCGAATTTATTTCAATTGGTTTAAACGGTTTGGGTTGGTTTGATTTTGGTACATATTAGTTGTATTTATAATTACACAACCGTTCAGGTTACGTAATTAATTGTAGTAATGTTTCCATTTATCTAGCCATGAGGGATTAGTGAGCGAAAACGCTAGGTAACTTCAAGTCGTGTATAGGTGGTAGTAAAGCCGAAAGTACTTACTTGTTTTTGAAGTTAATTTTCTCTGTGAAATCTTCAAATGAATACTGACGAGTGAATTACGAAGCTATTTGTTCGAAAATTAGCGTTATACAGTTATACACACATCTCTAAAATTCGCAGATACATACAGACAATTATACATATACGAAAATATCATCTTCGCAGACTTGTGTAAATTCATTATAGGATTCAAGATCGAATTGTAGAGATAATCGGTAAATTGAAGGACGTTAAAAGTCAGATGATAGTAACCAAGGAATTTGGTTTGCGGTATGCAGGGAGGGCTGTGATTGCTAGTACAATTGTACTAAATATAGTACATTCTAAGTACACTTAGTACGCTAGTACTCCTTTAACAAATCTAGTACGCTTTGGGATCAAATAATTTTACAGTTAGGGGTGCAAACAAATACACTAATTTTAGAATCGCCTGAAGCATTTTATTGCACTAAGAACAACAGAAGGTCCTCCTTTCACCGTTCACGTCAAAATTTATGATACCTATTAATATTATACAGTCTACAGACCTGTTTACTTCTTTGCCATGACTCATCAGTTAATTCTTATCTCTATAATGAGAAAAACAGAGTACGACACTATCTCGCTGTCCGCAATACTTACCTTGCGCTTTTCTACACCCAGACCGCTTATTAGATTGCCGCGAATCGCAACCCGTTTGAACCAGTCAGTGTTTTCAAATTTGTTCATCAGTTAATTCTTATTTATTTTCGTACCTACTTACGGAAGTGGGCGCAGCACGCAGTTGGTTAGATTTTTGTTTGAAATGGACAAGTAAGTATGAAAAAAAAATAAATTACTTAGTCTTTTAATACAACTTATAGGTTTGTGGTAAAAAATAAAAGAAACAGAGATTCATCTGTGTCAAATGAGCCGCCTAGTGCTGGTAACGGTAACACTGCACCTGTAGCTTCCACATCTACGTCCCGTGATAGAGATCCTGGTGATGTGGATGTCATATCAGAGTCAGAAACAATCGAGGAAACAATAGTTAATGAAGACCATCACAGACAAAAGAAAAAAAGTTACAAGCAGAAGTTCCGATCAGAGTGGTTGAAAGAATTTTTGTGGCTCGAGCTTAAGGATGGCAAGAATTACTGTAAAGTTTGTGCCATGCATATTAATGGAAATGTTTGTCATCTTAGGCGTCACGAGACAAGTACATCACATGTAACGAAATATAAGGCTGCAAAGAAGACTCCGCAAATTACATCATTATTAATACCAAATGAAGATGAGGTTCACTTGAGCAAAAAAATATCTTATGCAGAAGTAAAACTGTGTGCTTACATTGCCGAGCACAATTTACCCTTATCGTTAATGGATACTTTGCCTCAATTATGCCAAGATATTTTTCCGGATTCTACAATTGCCAAATCATTAAAAATTACAAAGGAATAAATGTATTATAAATAATTGTAATTGAAAATTGCTCCATTGCATATACAAGACCTCATCAATGTATTTAAAAACAAGAAAGTTATGCCATTACTCATCGAAAATCCATTTCAAAGTCGACAAAAAAAATGTCATAATTGTAACCGATACTGGACTCAATAATAAAGTTGTTTATAATATAAAAAAAGTGCGGAACTATTGCATACTAGTTAAATATATGTAACATAATTGGTTTGATCTTGTTAGTACTTTATATGCTTGTAGTATTGCAAAGATGTCTTTTTTATAAAAGTATACACACTCGGTTCCTGTATGATCCACAATTTTACATATTTTGTTGTGTTCATATATGTCCATCTTTTGATTTTGTATGATAAATAAATATAAAATATGTATATATAAATATAGCATTAGTGTTAATGTGAAGTATTTTGTTTTTTCCTTATTTGCAGGTATTTCCTTGTATTGCGATAAAAGCCACTTTTTAGAAATTTATAGTTATATCAAAACGAAAACCACGTTTATATTTCACCATTTTAATAGTTGGGTATATCATAATACAAAAAATATATATAAAACATTAAAATAAAACTAAAACTTATATGGAATGGTTATATACAACTTACCCTTAATGTTATTAAGGGCACATGGTGCAACGTTATATAATGATGCATAATTAACTATTGACAGGGAATTCGTTTGTTTGCACACTTCGTATCTTGAAAATGTTTGTACGTATTAGGAAACAAGAGTGGAAAAATTAGAAGGGCAAGATTTTCGACGGCGTCTAAAAGTAAATCACAGATAGGTATCGACCTGAAGCTATATTTTTCGATAAACTCACCAGTGTCCTCAAACTTGGTCTATATACTTCGTATCACAGCGCAATTTTTCTTTTTAGCAAGGGACAAAATTCCCTTACTAATTGATGACCACGCATTAAACAGTAAATTGGCTTTCTCGGGATACAGTAGGTAGCTCAAAATCGGTAGTTAACTGCAATGCATAAACATTATATTCTTAAATTCGAAAGACAAGGAGAGAGAGGATAGAGAGAAGAGAGGGAAGGGGAAGAAAGAGGGAGGGGGAAAGGATGTGAGGGAGGGGAAATGGAGTGACAGAAGGGGAGAGAGAGGGGAAGAGAGTTAAACGTTATAATAACTTACCAGTGAATATCCCAAAGGCTGTTTTAAACTCGGATACAAATCATAATATTGGTAAATTTCAATATTATCGTTACTAAAAGCTTTCAATCGGGATTTGCTCGTTAAACGCCAATAATCAACAACTTTGTGAAATGGATCAACGTTATGTTTCAGCCAATTCATAAACTCTTGGACTAGTTCCTCATCTGAAAATCAAAAAAGTATATTAAACATGGTAAATGTACGCATTTTTGTCTCGTATTTACCTTCATTTACATCATTATTGGTGACATTATCAGGATTTAAGTCTTTGTTTTTCCTTGAAGATTTGGAAATTAATTCCAGTTTCTGGTACTTCACGCGCGTGTTCACGTATCTGTCGTACAGTTTTCCATGTGCACTTATGGGTTTTCCCCTTGAATCTCTATAGGCCGGCACGTAATAGGTTTCGGGCTGTTCTGTAGGAAATATTCCGCAAATTTCATTACTCAGTCGTATAAACTTTTCCTTGGGAATTCTATGAACAATTAATTTTGTAAAGATTTGAGACAGAAGTGCATTACCTAGTGTCTGGATTATCTTTAATCATGCTTGAGAAGATCAATGTATGGTATCATTATACTTTTTCTGATGTAGGAATAGGCGAAATCGGTGTCATCTCCCAAGTGGGGATGGGAGTGGGATTACTCGATATAATAATTACCGAGTTGCTGTCTGCTAAACTTGTAGAAGGACTTGCAAACATTGACGAAGAGTTTGCGTAGTCACTCTGTAACTAATGAAAAATAACGATGGACCCATAATTTTTAGTAAAAAAAATACCCATACACAAAAAAAGCGTTAGTAAAGCGTGATGATATCAATGGAATTAATAACACTTAGGTAAGTAACTACTGGCGTTGGGCATGTGATATCCACGTACAACAATTATAGAAAAATAAGTGCCTAATAACAATGCACATTTGTCTTTCAAAACATCAATCTTAATAGGGATATTCATCTATTTGTAACCTTTGAATCACATATTTTGAAGTTTTGAATTGTGTTGTAGGCATTGTTGTAAATTGCATTTTTCAATTTTTTTTTGAGAACCATAAAACATACCGAGAAGGAACGGCTTTGGATAGAATATTAGGTATATCCTTTCTGAAAATTTCACGAAATTATGTGTTTTTATGTATCGAAGAACAAAATTATCGAACCATTTTTCAATCGGAAAAGCAAACTAGATTCGTAAAAATAGGTGCATCATCTTGGGGTAGCAATTTTGACAATTTTTTTATAAAATCCGAAAGGGCATACCGCACACCAAATTTCTTATCTAAAGAAGTACCATCCTACTCAACACGTCTTATGCCAAGACAAATATCAAGCAAAAATGAAAACAGAAATGCCATTTTGGAAATTTTTTTAAGGGTAGCTTCCAAACAAAACATTTGCGCCCCTTTATCTTTTTGGACAACTAAAATGTATCAACCTGCATACTGCATATACAACCGCAACGCTAGTAACTATATAAACACAGGCTGTAGGTATAGGCAATACTACGAGTACTTTTTAAGACTTAAAAAGCATGCGATCGCATTACATGTTCTAAATTTAATATGAAATATTATAATATACTGGAATGTCAATGATGTTGTATTGTTTCCATTTATCAATTATTTTGAATTGATTGCCAAGTTGAGGCACCAACTTGCATAGATGACTCTCATTGATCAATTTGAATGCTGCCTCATCAATAGCATTTTCTACAACACAAAAAAGAAGCACTAAGGACCGCATTTTTGCCTTGCGAATAACTATAATTATCATTTCTATAATTATTATGCGGGGTGATAATTTGTTACTTCTTACCTTGAAAAACAGGGATTAAATAATCCATTTCCCATTCCTTGAGCAGATTTTCCATACCTATTTTACAGCACTTCACTTATACACGGCAGAACGAACTAAATGGTACTGACAGCGTTCTTCTTGGTGTTACTACTCAGTAAGTTATAACATAAATAGTATTACAAAAAAGGTCTCATTTATGGCATATTAATATTTTTTCACTCTTATACAACTGTCACGTTATGGTATACTACTACGTACTGGTAAGAGACCACAGCACTGTTTTATTAATATTTATAAAGAATGTGCAAGTTTTCAATTTTGTGTGCGTGGGACTACAAGTGATACTATACCACCGAGTAAAATCCCTTACCAATGCTATTGGGATTCTTGATATACCTTATGATGTCATCTTTATTCACTGCAAAAATTAAGCAGCAACAAAATTAATGTTTACGAAGGCCGCACTTGTAAACTGTAGAGGATTGTATTTCCTCTATGGCCCTACTTAGGAGTATATGTAAAAAAAAATAAAACAAATTCCATCTTCTCTCCTTTAAATGTTTGTCAAATCCACCCCATCATAGTTATACACCTATTAACGTTTATAGAGCCAGCAAATACACATTCAGCTGTAAAGTTACTTGCATTGGCAATATTATACTATAGAAGTTGTTGTAGTATTATACATATTTACGAACTAATTTTAGACATATTATATCTGTATAGTTTGTATTATAATGAAGTAGTAGTATATAATACAGTTCTTCATTAGAAATTTGTAGCCGTATAGTCTTTTAACGGGTACATGTAATTCATACACAGAGAGCCGTAGTTTATATTTGCGGTTTTGTTTGAACATAGAAAATGTAAAGAATAGATACGTCTTCTATATCAATTTGGTAAAATTTCTTTCAGTGTACGACTGATGATGTCTGCACTCGAACCGGAACTTGAGTTTAATTTAGAAATAATATAAAACATGCAGTGTCAATAAATAGAATTCCAAACCATTGTATAAATTATTTAGAAACGTATAAAAACTGCGTCCAGACAGGGTACAGTTGTTTGATTTGATGGGCTTTGTTTAGTAGGCACTCGTTGTTAACGAGGTATATAAATTAATCATGGATTTTTACTTATTTGTAAATGTTATTATTTAAATAAATGTGCATTACACTACAATATACCCTAGCTAGATCATTGCTTTCAGAGCAAATTTGGGGTCCCATGTGTTGAGAGTAGGTAATAATAATTAATACAAGAAGTCCGAAATAGAATAAATCCGATATGGCAATACAACATTCACCCATCACTCGACATCGCTCGGTTTAAACTATAGGGCAAATTAAAATCGATGATTCGACTATAATAAGTATAATGAAAGAGTATATTATTTTAATAATCAATTACTTAATTAATTGATAGTAACCCTGGTGTACGGGTACTACTAATATATTACTTATTATTGTAATTTCATTAATATTTCAAGAAATGTTACTATTTTAACAAGCTTTGCTCTACATACTTGTGTAATAATAGGCCACAGGTTGCGTTATTCGATTAATCCAAAAACAATCGATTACTTAATTATCGCTCTATTAAATCAAAACTTGCTAGGTTCAAGCATACGCAATAACGCAAATTTATCAAATTGAATGGATCATTAATTTTCACAAACCTCTCGACAGTGTAAATGTAAAAGTTTAATAATTAAATATAATAAAAGTAAATAATAAATTTAATAATCGTAGTTACAACACTAGTAATTACATGCGTAGGCGGTTGTTACATTCCTGCATTTTTAAGAGGACACCCCAGTTATGAAAAAACATTCCATCCAAAAATGAAATTGATAATGCTATAACCGTTTTGATTAAAACTTTACTAGGTACTAAGGGCTAAGTATATATTAACATTGTATTTATAAACGTTATTCTTATTAATCATGGTAGATATTTGATAGAACGATTATCTAATTATGATCGTAGTGTATACTTATTTAGTGTTTGAGGTAAAAAAAATGTATTAAAATTGGTGTTTCTGATTTCGTATACAAAGGTCAAAGAGTAATTACCAATTATTATTGCGTCAAGATGTTTGGAATATTACCTACATCTTATTACCAAGTCTGTGACATTCATTGGCGGCAATTACTGACTAGGACAGTTTCCAATGTGGTATAGTCGTAAGTTCAGCGTTATTGTAAAATTAATAGAACAACAAAATGGGTAGGTATCTACCACGAATACGCTCTTCCTACAATTCCGTGATTAATGATTATATTGTGTTATTATTATGACCTCGCATTAAACTTTACACAGTATACATAATACTCGCTTTTTTTATGAGAAGTTTATTTTTATATTATACTTGGCACTAATTTAATAATTTTAATTTGCTGTGCGGACTACACAGCAGAAGCCCTCTTGGTTATTTTAATGAACATCGCCATACACCATTTTGGAAAGCATAAAGAAAACATACAATCCAATAGGTAGTTTCAACTTCATTAAAAGATTATGTTTATGTGCAAAGTACAAAGACAAAATTTCCAAAGAAAGACTGAGCCTTGACATTCTTTTCCCCAACATTTTGCAAGTAAAACCATTTACTGGCATACGTTTCAATTTTCATTTAGAAAATTTAAATAGAAAAAGAAGTTAATGATGCTAAATAAGTTACAGGTTAACGCGATACTTTTCCGAGTTTTATCATGGAAATGATCCCCATTTAATTCGGATTGTTTCATGTTTGTAATCGAGCCTTTTACGAGCCGTAAGTAATGCGAGTATAAAACTATGAATTAACATCTGTGTAAAATACAAATTCGCAGTTATCTCGCTTATTAATTTTTCTGCAGCCTATAACTAGAAATTTATATATATTTGACCATGATTCTACCAAATTAGTTCTTTGTATTGTCGGTAGTTTAACCAAATGAAATATACGCAACACAATATACCTACCTACCTTTGTCATAATGCGATATCGAATGACCTTACGGTATGATTTCATTACATGAAAATTATGCAGATAAGTTAATCGTGACTAATTCGGCTACAGAAGAAGAAACAGAACATTCCTCGGCTTCTACCTGTTTAAAACGTGTTAGTAGGCGGGACCACATTTTGACTAAATTTTTCAACGGAAATGTGACATGATATTACATCTGCTTGATTCTGAAATACAAATATGACCTAGGTTACTCGTGAATCATTTAATACGTAGGTAATTATAACGCGCAAGCAACAAAATGCAAGGCACTACAAAAATACCATGTGCTTCATAAATAAAACACACGCCGCTGACCGGCCAGCTAGCTCTGTTGACCAAATAGCAAACAGCGGAGAGAGAAAGACTAATGTACAGGGTTGTGGATAACAGAATTAACTCAATTGGCAATTGGCACTTATACTCCTCGATCCAGCTTAGGTCGTCAGTACTTACTTTTGGTCGCTTCAATTAAAATCTCTATGGGCGCCACCTAATTCCAAGTTAAGTTTCGCTTGCCACTACCGGAACAAGGAAAGGTAGCTTTAGCTTTAAAGTAGGCAACTGATAACCCACAAAAAAAAATGTTTATTGGGTGCAATTGCACCTGCATACGTAACACCAACACAAAAGTTATGTTCCCCAAATGGGAATCAAAAATCAATAAAGTATAATAAACACGTTATGTAAAAAAACTAAACAACCCCAAGTATAAGTGTTGAAATAATTATCCCAAATTCCAAGGTTTACATAAAATTCCCCCAATGAAATATTACATAAATTTAGTAGCTGAAACGAGTTCACACCAAAAATCCTGAAAGTAGGTATAGAACACCCACTACCGTTGCACAGTGATTGAGTTTAATGGGTTAAATTGACAGTGGATTGAATACCTTGATTGGTAGCTTGTAGGGTATCGAAGTTTAAATCATAGTATAGAGCTCTGTACTTCACAGGTGATTTACTTCACATGAGTAAATGCAGTTAATTAACGCAAAATTATTCCCTTTCAAGTTCAAGCGTACTAATTAAGAGTAATATGGGTGGCTCTAGTGTTCGGCCAGTTAACATTTACCACATAAGTATGGGTTAAACGAAATGCAAATACACAAAGGCAATAAGTAGTTTAAACAATAATAAGATATCACCACTACGATAGGTAGGTCTCTGGTTCCTAAAGATTCCTGGTGTACGTGTAAACGGCTAACGGTTTTCTATGTACCGCAACAGGTGTCAAAAGGGTTGGTGTCCGCAGTATCTGTTTGGCTGCGCCTTAGCGATAGTAACGTTTCGATGGCAGATTTTACAGTACACGGAACTCCTGCATGTTGTCGTTTAATGTAGATGTGTTTCGCTTAGAGAGTAAGTAGAATCTACGGAATCGTTGGACTTTGACTCCTTACAAGGACTCTAAAATATAATGTAATTATGGCCACGGTTAACCAAATATAATGCGCTAACCTCTTAAAGCAGAGAGTACACAAAAAAAAAGAACTTCGTTAAAGTAAGGTAGCCTTCTTATACCATAAATACGATGGATTCCCCCTAGAAATAGAAAGAAGGTAAAGTGGATTCGATCACACGGAATATAACTTACGATTAAGGTGGCTCGAAATTTCTCCAGTACAAAAAAAAATCCCTTACGGAAGTTTGTCCCCAGGCATTAAAACGAAACTGCTTGGTGCAAACATTAATTTGGGTTGACTTGGTTAAAAGATGCTTTCGCAAGGGTGTTTGATCCAAAATCAACCACTGGAAGATATAACAAGCACCCCCAACTCGGGATCACAAATCGACCGTCTCTCTAAAGCAGGTGGCGAGAAAAGAAGACGCTAACCACGAGAGCCGATGGATATGTCAATACCATAAATGGTAATATCTAATGCTTATCGATAAAGGAAACGAATTTAAAAACCAATGACAGCAAGGTATCGAATTACAGTAAACTGACGTCATTGATCGGTAGATCGAGAAACTAAAACGGGCAGGCAACACAAAAATATAAAAGTAACTAGAGAATTTACATATTGGTTGCATTCAACGATGCGCGAACATGTAATACAGGGTAATGGAAATAGAAATATGACTACAAAGGTTAATACTATTTTAAACTGTTACATAATTAAACAATTTCCATTATTATCGTAAAACATGCGAGGTAACAGTTTCTTCATAAAAACGTGAATTTTTCGAATGTTCGTATACCTACTTGCTAATTTACAGTTTGTGCAGGGCAAGTACGTCCCCTTAGTAAATTCTATTCGAACAATCTGGAACATTACGGAATTCGTGGGGCAACTTTTGCTGGTGTAGGATACTTGAACATACGTTATTGTATAATTTGGACGGCAGCGCGTTATCGCACTACCCAGAAAAAGGTCGAGAGAAAACCTTTCCGAAGAGTACTGCCAGTGGTATATCGAATTCCGGTGGACCCATTAAAATGGGACAAAAGTTACAAAACCGTATACAACCGACACTCAAAGAAAAGTCGTGTAATTTTAGTTCATGTCTTATCTAAGAACGTTGAGAGTAGTGTAACGAATATTCC